GAAAAGTTGAGTTTACAACCAATAAGCTATTTAGGCCCCCTATACTAAGCTCTTGTGCTTCTTCCCTCTCGCTTTGCCGGCACCAATGCCCACAAGCGTGGTCTCCCAAAGACTGCAGAAAGCTGAGGCGTTAAGTTCATGTGTAGTATGTATTTGTATGTATGTATATATATATATATATATATATTGTGTGTATGTGTGTGTGTGTGTGAACTAGAACTCGATGGGCGGGGGGAGGAATGTTCCGGTATAGCTAGAACAGAGTGAAAAATGATTATTGCAACTAGTGCTCAGACACTCTGTATCATGGTCTTGACACAAGTTGAAGGCGTTTTGAAAACACAAGCATCAGGGTACCGAATACTCAAAGAGCCGTTCTAAACACAAACACACAATTACTCGCGCCTTACATCTCGTCTAATGAAACACACACGGGCGTGTGCAAAAGACACAAGCAAACGGCACCAGCGTCGATCTTGGCGTCGCACAGGTGAAGCCACCTGGCAACCGCATCTTGCGCGGCTGTCGGGTATAATGGCTTTATGGAGTTTCAGGGAGCCTTTCATATGTATGTATGCATGCATGCATGCATGTATGTCTGTATATGTCTGTCTGTACGTATGTATGTCTGTGTGTATGTATGTGTATTTGTGATGTATACATGTATGTGTATATGTATGATCTATATATATACACATACAGATAGATAGATAGACATGCAAGCATACATACACATAGATTATAGATGACTCTATCAGGGTTTATGGGTTTAGGGGTTCAGACAGCTGGCACCAGGGCACCTACCTAAGAGAAACTTGCAGATTGTTTGGGGTCTGCTTAGAGAGCATTGGCTCTTCAGTGACCGGTGTTTGGGTAGCCGGGAATGAAGGTTAACAGCTTTGGCGTTTCGGTTTAGGCCCCTTCTCGGGGTCGAGCTTAAGGCTGAACCCTAAACCCTAAACCCTTAAGGTTCATTGCGCACCAGGGGTTCGGCATCTGCATGGAGTTTGGCGAGGTAAATCCTGGACGATCGAAGCATCAAGCCTGTGCAAGGCAACCTCGCTGCTGCTTCCGGAATACCTAAACCCCAAAGGTAGGTAAAATAATGGCCCAAAACCTATAAAGGCCATTATTCTACATACTTTTGGGGTCCAGGTAATATCCTTTGTTTACACAGACTTGATTGGAGCTTGTTGGGCAGGTTCCCCCGAAGAATACCGTAAACCCTAAACCCTATATGGCCATCTTCACGACAGGCAGGGTCCAGGTAATCTCGACTCCAGAGCTTAGGGTTGAGGGCATGAGCTTTTGAAGACCATCAGAACATCTACATGTACGGCACCCTTGTAAAAAAGGACCCACTTGTGATCCTAGTTTGGAGTCACCCACATGTAGACCTTTACTTGTACGAACTCATGGGCGTCCAGATCCTACACCGGTACTGACAAGAGACTCTGCCGAACTCTACAAACATGTATACACATCCCGAAACCCTGTACGATGACCCTGAAACTAAGCAATGCGGTGGGCTGTATGTAGAGGCCAGGTCTGCAAATCACGATCTCGAACTCAGACAGTCTGTGCATGCAGGGTTTGGGGTCCACTATTTCTTTACCTTGATTCCTCCCATTTGTCTCCGACAGTCAGCAGGCCCAATACAAAGACCTCCAACCGCAGGATGCGCCGTCAGAACAAGCCTTTACCCATACACCCTAAAGTAGTTCCTTTTTGGGGTTCATATATATATATATATATATATAGAATCCTATAAGGTAAACCCAAAAAGGAACTACTATGGGGCCTATGGGTGAGGAAGGAGCCCCAACATTCTTCGAGCACGTGCACAATGTTATAGCCAAAACGTGCCACGGAGGGGCATCGACGAGCCGGCTCGGAACACTGACCTGCAAAAAGGGGTCCAGGGTGCAGGGGTTTGGGGGTGTGTAAGGCCATAGGGGGTTTCCTAAAATAGGGAATCATAATATAGCACCCCAAATAGTAGGATCCGCCTTATGATAAGGAACCCAGAAGGTACCCCCTTATTTCGGAAACTCCCCAATTGGGGCCTATGGTTTGTCGTTTCGACACACAGCTAAAGGTACCCGGCGGCAAATGCATCCGAGGCTGACTAGCACCCTCCTGTATGCTAGACTGAGCTCAGTTTAGGATGAGAACAACGGCGGACTCTCCCAAGTATCTCAACAGATTCCTCCAAATCCTGAACCCTTCGCCCCAAGCACAGCAAATCCATATGTAATAATAACCAAAGCCACAAACAACACTCGCCCATAGAAGTGTCCCCTCGGGTTGGCTGCACACACAACCCCACCACACGAGTTTCAGGAGAAAAAAGGACCCAAACACAGAACCTAAGTAGTGAAACGATTTGTATAAGAATCCCCAACAGGCCAATAGGGGCCCCGGTAGCTGCCCCAGGATGACCATATTTTGGTCCTTTTGAGCTTCGTCTCGCCCAAAGCGGCGCGGAGTGCGGAAACAACATGACGATCAGTGCTGCCGCCCTGTTGCACCCAGTCCTGATATCGCTGCACAGCCGTGTCTGGCAACATCGGGTTTGAGTTGGCGCAAGCGGAGAGGACTGCCCAGAGATTGCAGGGCTGTGGCCGGATGCCATCGCTGACCATCTGCTGCCACAGGCGGTCCACGCCTTTCAGGTCCCCTCCTAAGGCGAAGGGGCGCATGAGGATGGCAAACGTCACTTCTGTTGGCCACGCCATTTCTCTCCGACTCCCCACTTTTTGAAAGCTCTGATAAGAGACCAAAGCCTCCTCCGGAGCCGCGCGGACCACGGCATCCAGCACCGTGTTCATGCTCGTCGCATCTGCCGGGAGCTCAGAGGCTTCCAGCCGCTCCCACCAGAGCTGAGCTCGAACCGCATCACCAGCCTCAGTGAACATTCCAGGGGTAAACTAGAGCAACTAGAGGGATAACCACATACGATCCAAACTAAGATATATATATATATATAGATTCTAGATTCTGTGCTTGACCTTGCGACCTCCCTTATGGGGCCCATAAGCACCAAGCACTGAGTCCCTGGCTCTGGCTGCAGCATTGATCACGGCATTGTGTGCGACAAGGTCTGCAGCTCTGAGATTCCACCTGGGCTCTCGTCAAAATTAGGATCCCCTTTTGGGCACCCTAAATATTAGGTGCCGTATTCTATCAAGGACTCAGAAAGGGACCCTAATTCTGACAACCACGGGCCACCTCATTCTTGCATACCAGTCCTCTGCTTCAGCAGTGTGGCCTTCGGATGCAAAGCCTCCAATCAGGAGACCGAAACTCAGCGCATTTGGTGCAATCCCATCGCTCATCATCCGCTCCATGGCGTTGCAGGCACGGGCGAGGCGTTCCGGATGATGCGACTTGAGGTGAGCCTGGACCACGGCCGTATGAGGAACCACATCCGGCTCAAGTCCAGCAGTGCAGAGCTCCTGAAGCACCGCTTCCGCCTTTTCGGCGTCTCCGGCTGCAGCGCAAGCCGATATGAGAGCCGTGTGTGCCATTATGTCCAAATACACCTTTGCAGCTCGCATTCGCCCCATCCAAGCTTCCACACGCTCAACTTCTGCCATCTTTGCCCACGATCCCAGAAGGACCACGCATGACGGGTTTTCCAATCGGATGCCGTCCCGAATCAGTGCCAGCATCCACTTCTCGGCAGCGGGACTGTCTCTAGTTCGAGCAAAAGCATCCATAACAGATGTGTAGCTCACGGCGCAAGGCTTGAGGTGCATCTCAATTCCAGCTTGGAACCATTCTGCAGCCTTCGCGGTGGCACTGCTCTTCGAGTATGCATCTAATAAGATTGCCCAAAGCCGCGAGCTGACGCCACCTTCACGCACAGCCCGATGAAATGCCATTTCGGCACTCCTGAGGTCGCCAGACTTGGCCCAGGCTGCCAGGGAAGCCCCGTAAGCCGCAGGCGACGTCGAAGTCGGCGCGACTTCTTCGGAGCTCTTAGGGAGATCCAGATTCAGAAGCTCTTTTCGGCGAAGCCAAGACTCCCCACGTTGAGGATCCTCTTTGCAAGCGTCCAGAAGTGTCCCCAAATGCACGGAGGACACCGGCAACCGCTCTGCAGCCCGGAAGAACCATCGCTCGGCGCTCAGAGGCTGCCGTGCTTTGGCGGCGCTTTTGCAGAGCTTGCCAAAAGTCTTGACATTTGGACCTGGGTTGTAGTTTGGGTGCCCTGAAACGCATTTATGAATAGGTACCTCTTTGGAAACAATCAAGAAGGGAAATTTCATAAAGTTTCCCCAAAAAGGCACAATAAGGGGATTTTTTTTTTAAGTTTCCCTAATTGCCACCTGGGGACTCACTTTCGACGCGAGCATCCGCCGGTACCAGGCCTCCGCTCCTAGCAGATCAGCGGCATTGGCATAAGCCTTCAGCACGATGTTGAACCTATACCGAACTTAGACACCTAGCAAAAATTATAATTTTAGGTGCTTCTTAGGGTTTATAGTAGCCAANNTTATTTCTAAGTACCCCTAAGGAACAAGAAGGGCTTCTTTTCCCCGCCCGTCAAGAGTGGCTCCAACAACTCTCGCACTTTCTGCGCCTCGCCGGCTTCTGCAAGCTGGTTTGCCAGGCTGACGCTGTCCGTTGCTATGCCTCGAGAGAAGTATCTTCTCATCTTGCCACCACCGAAATCCCATGCCAGGCAGCGGCAAGTGCATGACTGTTGAAAAGGCCTGTATACTAGGGTTAGCACACTTCCACAAGCCCTCTTCTGGTTTCTCACACTCTGTGCGCGAGAACCCGACGCGTTGTCGTCTTTGCAAGAAATGAGATCAACCCGCTAAACCCTACATCAACCGTCAACCGTCATCAACCCGCCCTCGCTGACAGCTTGGCCAACAAATGGAGCCAACATGGAGATTTTGGGTTTTGAGTCCTTCGCGGCGTGGGGCCGAGGGTTAGGTTAGGGCTGTTCGTGGTTGTTTAGTTTCAGGGCTTGCGCTTGTGTGTACAAGTGCAGGGGTTCGAAGATGTCAGGGCCCAGGGATAGGGTTGGATGCTTTTCTCAATCTCCGAATGGACTCACCCCCAAACCCCAAACCCCTAAAC